CAGATCTAAAACATGAACATCTGGTTAAGAAGATGTCAGAGAAGATTGGACTTCTGTGCTGTTGTTATTTGGTCATTTCTGTAGTGTCTGAGTCTTTGTTGACCCCATTTGGGGTTTTCTTGGCAAAGATACTGGAGTGGTTTGCCATTTCCTTCTCCAGCCCATTTTACAGATGAGGAAACTGAGGCAAACAGGGTTAAGTGACTTGCTCAGCTAGTAAGTGTCTGAGGCCAGATTTGAACTCAGGAAGCTGAATCTTTCTGACTCCAGGCCTGGCATTCTATCCACTATGCCACCCAGATGCTCCTTGGATTTCTATACCACTGAGTAAAATTCTGAAGTAATAGATTCTTGGCCTGGGATGAGATAGACCTAATATACTCAAAATACCTAGTGATCTCATCAATGCAGATATTTCCCTCAGTCACTCTGTCAACAAGAACTTATTAAATGCCTACGATATTCTGGGGACAGCTAGGTGGTACAGTGGATAGAATACCAACCCTGAAGTCAGGAAGGTTCATCTTCCTGAGTTCAAATCTGGCCTCAGACGCTTACTAGCTGTGGGACCCTTGGCAAGTCACTTAACCCTGTTTGCCTCAGTTTCCTCATCTGTAAAATGAGCTGGAGAAGGAAATGGCAAACCACTCCAGTATCTTTGTCAAGAAAACCCCAAATGGGGTCACAAAGAGTCAGACACGATTGGAACAACTGAATCTATGGTACATAAGCATAGGTGACACAAAGAAAAAGCAAAATATGTCCCTGTTTTCAAGGGTGTCACAGATCACACCCTGTTTATGCCTGTCCATCCTGGGCAGCTTCTATCCACTTCCTTTCATCAGTTCACCTCTACGGTCCATCCCACACGTTAGGCATCTTCCTCGCTTTCTCACGACATAACGAATGTGCCAGCGGAGCTGATGCATTGTGGGAAACTGGGCTGGGGATAGGAGTGCCCTCTGGAGCCCACCTCCTACATTTCCCTGATGGCACTCTCTAGATGGCTTCTCTTTCATAATTCCTCATTTGTAATGTGTCGTGGTCTACTCACAGCCCTCATTTGCTTCTCCATTGCCCTGTGGGTCAATCACAGCGTTAATTGTTTGGAGACTACAGTGCTCCCTGAGTTGTAGTCATAGAACAACACTAAAAGAATAACGTTATTCTAAAGATGGACCTTTGTTTTAGGGAGAAGCTTAAGGGTAATTAAAAGAACTCTGCAATTTCCCAGAGGCAGTCTGGCCTGGTTTCTACTCATGTTCAATTCTAGGTCCAACTAATTGTTCATTTTCAGTGTGGCTCTCTGTGATATAGATATATGTATGTGTGTATAATATATGTATATATACATGATATTATACAGGGTGTCCCAAAAGTCTTAATTCAATTTTAAGTTTTTAATAATAGCAAATTGTACTGTCTTTTAAGGACATTCTGTGTAAGTTTAATATAGTATATGTATATCTGTATACATATTATGTATGTTCATGTAATATCCATGGATAAGCTCTACAGGTTACTTACTTAACTGCTATCATAGCTTTGACAATGGGCGTCTTCATCCACTTTGTTTTTCCTGTGTGAATATTTAGTCCAAATTCTTTTGAATGATTGTGTATCACATTTAGGAGGCTCTGCAATGTACTAACGATGTTTCTGTTGAAATCCAAACATTATCCATGAACAGAAACATCTGGAGGACCCCATAATCTACCGTGAAGCCTTCTTTGATTATGGCTTTATTCTGTATCATCTCTATAGAAAGGGCAAACATTTTTGGCTAACATATCTCTCTGTTTTATGCCTCACTTGAAATGAATGATTAAAAGGTCAATGAATAAAGTTCTCTGTTATTTCTTTCAAGTTCTAAGAGGATCTCTATGGGGTGAAGATGAGACTCACTGGGAATAATTAGATGTTGCTGGCCAGAAAATAAAGTGTGGGGTACTCCACTGAGAAGGGGAGAAAGGGTGGTATCAGAGTTTTGAGGAGAGAAGAGAAAGTTTGGAACAGGCATCGTGGGAAATGTGATAGAGTTAACCCTATAAGCACAAGATGGGAAAGTCTTGGTGAGGTAGAAGTTTGTTTGAAAAAGATCTCTGTTGTGTGTGTGTGTGTGTGTGTGTGTGTGTGTGTGTGTGTTAGTGGACTGCAAGCTCAGCATGAGTCAGTAGTGCATATGGCAAACAAAAATGCTAATGAGATCTTGGGATGCACTAAGAAAATGAATACAGTCGAGAATAAGGGAAGTGATAGGTCCATTTCTGTTTAGTTCTGAGTGTCACAGTTTGAGAATGAGACTGATACATGTCCACAGGAAGGTATATTCATAGGAGGGCAACCAGAGTGGAGAAGTATCTTGGGATCTTATCATATGAGGAATGGCTAAAGTAGTGGGAAATGTTTAACCTGGGGAAGAGAACACTTGGTGGTGGTGGTGGGCACATGATAGGGGTCTTCAAGGATGTAAAAGACTATCATGTCAAATAAGAGCCATCTGAAAGTGGAAGACGTTGTCAAACAAGGTAGTGAGCTCCCCATCATTGGAGGACTTCAAGAAAAAGGCCACTTTAGGGATGTTGTAGGTGTCAGTTGGACTAGATGGTTTCTAAGGGACCTTCTAACACTGAGATGCTGCTGGGATTCTGAGATACCTTTCCTGCTTCATCTCTTATTACTCCCCACCATGGACCACTCAAAGTCATTTTATATGTCCCCACTTTCCCACCTCCTCTCCTTTGCTCAATCAGTGTCTTATACCTAAAATGCCTTTTCACCTCTTCTTTCCTTCCCACCTCCACCTCTGCTTTTGGAAATCTTATCTCACTCCCTCCTTTATCCATAAGAAATGATCTTTCCATCCTAAAGGCCTCTTTGGATCTCTCTTATTATGTTCTATGTCACAGTCACTGTACAATCTTGTATATTTGTGTTTGTACCTGTGCCCCCGGTTATATTGGAAGCTCTGTGGGGGCATGGACCACTTCTCTGATTATCTTTTTTAACTTCCCTGATGCTAAGCGCAGTGTCCTGAATATGTTCAGTACTTAATAACTGGTCTTTGTGTAAGTGAATAGCGGCATCGACGTAGTAGCTATAAAGTCTTCGGGGCATTTCATGTAAGCTATCTTATCCGAGCCTCACGACAATTCTGTGAAGCAGGCCCTAAAAGCGTTAACCTCATTTTACAATGAGGAGATTGAGGTGCAGAGAAGCAGGGTGACTTATCAGTGGTCACATAGCCATAAGAGGCGAGATACCGTTCTGTCTCTGCAATGAATATAGTAGGAAGAATCCTGGACGGACATCAGAAGATGTAGGGTTCTAGTCCCTGCCATGCCACTGCCCCTCCCTGGGCCTCATTTTATAGATGAGTGATTATAACCTCATGTTTCCCTCTACTTTTTTTTTGAAATCTAACTCAAGTATGACTTCCTCTGTGAAGTCTTTCTTCCTCTTCCTCTTCCTCTTCCTTTCTTACTCTTTCCTGTCTCAAATTCCGCAGAGCAGATTCCTTGGCTCTTTTCTTTGCGATTATCTCTCTCTCCTTTATTTGTGTACTCAATTTGCCCCTAATTGGATTATAGGAATCATAGGTTTGGAGCTAGAAGGGACCTTAGAGGCAATCTAATCTAAACACTGCCACCATCCCCCCCCCTTTTTTTTTTTTTTACTGATGAAGAAATTAAGACTCAGAGAAGCTAAGGGACTTGTCCAGGGCCAGAAGTAAGATTGGAACCCAGGTCTTCCTGGCTCCCAAACCTGATACTTTATGCTACAGCAGGGTCTGTATCTGATCTACCTCTGTATTTCCAACACTAAAAACAAGACCTACTACATAGCAGGTGCTTAATAAATGTTTATTGAATTAAATTGAATGACAAAAATCCCATTGCTATAAATCTGTAAAATGGGGGTGATAATCCTAGAACTACTGTATCTCACAGGGTTGTTGTGAACAGAGTGCTTTGCAAATAAACCTTAGGGCCCGAATTAAAGAAAGCAAACATTTAAATGATCCTATTTGATCAGGATGCAGTAGAAAGTGCCCCAAGCTGGGAGACGGGAGACCTGGTTTCTACATTCAGCTCTGTCATTGACTCGTGTGTGACCTTAGATAAGTCATTTCCCCTCTGGGCCTGAGTAGCCTCATCTGTAAATGAGGTCTCTGACAGTGCTGATGTTCTATGTTAAGAGCAGAAATGGCAACAATAGTTCACATTTCTACGACTTTTACCTTTACAAAGCACTCTCCTCAACCCCAAGGGAAGTTGGTGCAATGTGAATCATTGGCCAATTTAAGAATCACAAAACTCTGAATCCCTGGATCATAGAATCTCAAAGTTGGATGGAACCTCAGATACCATCCAGTCCACCTCATACCTGAACAAGAATTCTGGGACACGTGGCCCTGGATCCCTTGCTGGAAGACCTCCAATGATTGGAAACTCTCCACTTCTCTCCCCTCCCCCCCTCAAGCCTGTTCCACTTTTGGACAGCTCTAATGGTTAGGAGGCATTTCCTTATATTGAACCAAAATTTGCCTCTGTGGCCCTTCTGACCACTGCTCCCAGAGGTCCTTTCTGGGACTTAGCAGATTAAGCTGAATCTCTCTTCTACACGACAGACCTTCACATCCTCTCTAGGAGCTGTCATGTCTCCCCCCTTCCTTTCAAATTCTGATTTTTGCAAGCAGCATCTGAGTCTCCAAGGAGGGGGGCGGGGAAGAACTTGCCCAAAGGGACAACATTAAGAAGCAGCAATATAGGAACTTGAACCTGGTTCTTTCCACTGCACCGAACCGACTCTCCCAAGGAATGAATTTGATAACTAAGTATTATTCTTTCCCCTTTGCTCTCGTCTTATTTCTTATTCATTATTGACTGTAGAAAGAGCTTCCAGATTTCCAAGGGCCCTAAAATTGCCCAGTCCAGCCCCATTGCCTCCTCCTCCTCTAAGCAGGCTCCCCCCCACCCCGTGCCCTTCGCCCAACTCACCTTCAGCAGCCACTGGGTGTTGTTCTCCAGGACTCGCTCTAACTGTTGCACCCTCTGGGCTGGCCAGTCATTCCCCTGAAGCGCTTCTGCTGGGGAGTCCCGCTGCAGGGTATTGGCACTGCTGCCAAAGGCCTCTTGCCCTGGTGGGCACGGCTCAGGTTCCGGCAGGACAAATGTGTAGCTGCACTGACCGTGCTGGACGCGGTGGGACCGGCGATGGGCATTGCCCTCGGCCCTCCTCCGCTGGGTGCTCACCGTGGCCACAGTGGTCAGGACTAGGATGAAAGTGCCGGTCTGCATGGTTTGGCTCAGGGCCTCCCAGGTTGTGGAATGTGTGTGTGGATATATGTTATGTATCTATGTGGAACGTGTGTGTATGTGTGTTGACATATGTGTTTGTGTGTATGAATAGATGTGAATAGGTGTGTGTTTATGTATGTAAAGGTGTGTCTGTGTTGGGGGGGGTGGCACAGTCAAAAACCTTTCATGGGTCTCCCCTGCCCTTGGCCAGTCTGCTCTCCTCTGTCCCGGGTCAGGCTGGGGAGACAGACAGACAGACAGACGAGGAACCCTGCCTGCTGAGATGTTCAGGGAGGCTGTGGTTGGGAACCACACAGCTAGGCTATTTATATTCTCTCTAAATACCGAAGCTGCTTCCTCTCCCCCCCCCACTCCCCCTCTTCCCCCCCACCCTCCCTTCACCTCTATTCTTTCCTCATCTTCCCCTTCCTTCCTCCCTCACTCCCTTGCTCTGCAGTCTCTCTTCCTCTGTCTTCAGCTCCTATAAGTCCTCTTAACTGTCTAGCAGCCTCCCCCCACCCCACCCCACCCCCTTTTTAGCCAGCCCCGCATCACAGTAAGGAAAAAAAAACCACCAACCCAAAATCTCTCTTTTCTTCCCCCCAACTCCACTCCCAGAGCTCAGGGCTCAAATTTCAACCTCACTCCCCTCCCTACCCCGCTCACAACTTCTCACCCCTTCTCCTCCCTCCTTCCCCCCCAACTACACTCCCCCCTACTCATACAACCTCTCCCTCTCCTCCACCACCCCTCTGGGGCTTTCTCAACCCACCACCAACTTCACCCTGCTCTTGCTTAGCATTAATCTGGCTGGCCACCTATTGGCCCAGAACTGGAATGACCCCAAGAGAAAGTATTTGGGGAGGGGAGGGAAGGAGGCTTTTTTTTTTTTTTAAACAGTGCCTATGTAGGGAGAAAACAGTTTGGAGAGAAGAGGCTTGAACCCCAGGTCAGATCCCCAGCTCTTCCTCCCCTCTTCTCCTCACACCATGGACACAGCCCAGGAAATCATCGTGTGATCAGGACCAGCTGGACCTGGGGAGGGTTACGGAAATAGACATTAAGGAGAAGATGATTCCTTGGCTAATCCAAGCTGGTCATACATAACACAGTCTTTTGTGAAGAGCGTTTGTGCTCCCAGCTGTGGGGATGGGAGACTGAAATGAGGGAGCCAGAGAGGTTCAGTAGAAACAGAAGTGGGAGGCAACAAAACAGGTTTGAGTTTGACTTGCCGTGTGACCTTCTGAAAATCACTGCTCCACTCTGGGCATCAGTTTCTTCATCCCCCACCAAGGCCTCAGTTTCTTTCTCCATCAAATGAAGACACATTTGATCCCTGCCCTGCTGCTTTCACAGGTGCACAGGTTGGATGAGGAACAAATACGGTTATGTCTGCCAAAGAGTGTCTTGGAAAAAAATGTAGAATGCTGTATGTGGAGGAAGTGGCATTTGGTAGACAGAGGCCTGGGCTTGACCTCATAAGTTCTGGGTTTGGTAGTTGGCTCTTTTGTTTATTATTTGTGTGACTTTGAGCAAGTCAATTTACGTCTCTCTGAGGGCCAGTTTTCTCATCTGTCAAATGAGAGGGTTGGGTTAGATGATCTCCAAGGTCCTTTATAGGAAGGAAGGAAATGAGCATTTATTAAGCACCTACTACACACCAGTAGATGTGCACTAAGCACTTTACAAATAGCACATTGGATCTTAATAACAATAATAGTTAACATTTATACAGAGGCAGTCAGGTGGTTTGTAGCTAGAGTGCTGGGACTTGGAGTCAGGAAGACCTGAGTTGAAATCTGGCCTCAGACACTTATAAACTGTATGATCCTGGACAAGTCACTTAACCTTCATTTGCTTTAGTCCACTGGAAAAGGAAATGGCAAACCATTCCAGTATCTTTGCCAAGAAAATCCCATGGAGTCCCGAAGAATCAGACATGAATGAATGACTTGACAATAACAACAACAGTATTTATATAGCACTTACTGTGTGCCAGGCACCATGCTAAATGCTTTATAATTAACATCTTGTTCGACCCTCGCAAACCCCTGGGAAATAGGGCCTGTTATTAATTCCATTTTACAGATGAGGAAACTGAGGCAGCTGGCGGTTAAGTGACTTGCCTAGGGTCGTACAGCTTGTAAGTACCTGAGGACAGATTTGAACACAGGCCCAGCACTCTGTCCACTACACCACCTTGTAACTATCTCTCTGAAATTCTATCATTCTTTGATTCTGTGAGGGATGGCCAACCAGCCGATTAATCAATTACTCAATCAACAAACATTTATGAATCTATTGCTAGGTCTTGAGGATACAAAGTGAGACAGTCCTCGTCCCCATGGAACTTGAGTTCTAATTGGAGGAATGCTATATGTTCAGAAATAGTAAATATAAGACGTATACAAAATAAACACAGTTAAGGGGGATTGGGGGATGGAGGGAACTAAAACCCAGGAGAGTCAAGCCAGGTCTCTTGAAGGAGGTGACCCTGGAGACAATCCTCAAAGGGGGGCAGAGGGAGGTGAGGAGAGCCTTCTAGGCATGAGGGGGGAGGGAGGGGCAGCCCATTCAGAGGTCGGACCAGATGGCCTCTGATGGTCTCTTCAAACCAGGCCATTTTGTAATCATTTAACTCCAGGCTCAGCATGAAGGTGGGAGATGGGGTGTTGTATATGAGGAGCTGCTGGTCAGCCAGTTTGGTTGGAGCTTAGAGTGAGAGAAAGTAATATGCATACATCCTGGATAAATAGACTGGGGCCAGATTGTGAAGGACTTTAATGGCAAAGGAGAAGAATGTGGATGTTGTCTTGAAGAGAAGCAACCACTCAAGATTCTTGAGCACAAGAATGACATGGCCAGAATATCAATATGACAGCTTGTGGAAGATGGGAGAAAGTCTCCCTTGGAGAAGGGTGAGGGAAGAAGAGGCTAGAGATGTCTACTCTGCCTCCCTTCAAGACATACACAAGGACCACATTCTTATGTTAGCTTTTTTTTGTGTGTGTGAGGCAATTAGGGTTAAGTGACTTGCCTAGGGTCACACAGCTAGTAAGTGTCAAGTGTCTGGTCTGAGGCCCTATTTGAACTCAGGTCCTCCTGACTCCAGGGCTGGAGCTCTATCCACTGTGCCACCTAGCTGCCTGACAAGGGCCACATTCTTGCTACACATTGAGCCTCACTACACAGGGAGGCCTTCACCTCTGCTCTCCATAGTTTCTCTCTTTTACCTGCTTTGACAGAAACCTTTGTAAATGAACCGCATTGTACCCTTCTCTTGCCTTTTAAACAGTCAGTTCTGAAATTAATCACTTTTAGTCTCAGTTTCCTCATTTGCAGAATGAGGAGATTGGATTAGAGAGCCTCTGAGATCATTACATTAAGATGGTGAGGGGGAGACAGGATGCAGGCGAAGGAAAGAAGAAAACAAGCAATTATTAAGCACCTACTACAGGCCAGACACTATACTAAGCCCTTTTCAACATTATCACGTTTGATCCTCACAACAATCCCCATTTTTTACAGTTGAAGAAACTGAGACAAACAGATTAAGTGACTTGCTCTGGGTCACTCAGCTAGTAAGTGTCAGAGGCTTGATTTGAACTCAGTTCTTCCTGACTTCAGGCCCAGTTTTCTATCCATGTGTCATTTAGCTGCCTCCCTCCCTTGCAGAGAGAACACTTCTGAAGATATTACAATAGTCTAGGTGAGAGGTGATGAGGGCCTGGACCAGGGTGGTGGTAGTGTGAGTCAAGAAAAGGGGACAAATGGGGGCAGCTAGGTGGTGAAGTGGATAGAACACCAGCCTTGGATTCAGGAGGACCTGAGTTCAAATCCGACCTCAGACACAAAACACTTACTAGCTGTGTGACCCTGGGCAAGTCACTTAACCCCCATTGCCTAGCCAAAACAAACAAACAAAAAACCCCCCAAAAAAAAAAAAACAAAAACCAATCCAAAACAAAACAAAAGGGGACAAATAGGAAAGATGTTGATGAGGCAGAATTGACAAGAGTTGGCATCTGACTGGATGTGGAGGTGGGAGAGATGAATGAGAGTAGAGTGAAGGATGACTCTCAGTCATGGGAAGAATGATGGTGCCCTCAACAGAAACAGAGAAGTTAGCAGATAAGGGGTGGGTTTGGGGGGAAAGATAATGAGTTCTAGGCAAAGCCTAGACATGGAACAGATGGAGGATTATTTTAGGGATAGGGGCTGGACCAACGGTTTTATTAGTCTAGAGAACTGCCAGATGAGGACACTTAACTCTACCTCTGCTTATGGGCACCTTCTCTATACCTTGGAGCATTAGAGCAGTGCTTGGAGGTCTGTTAAGTCACTTGTCCAAGGTCACACCAAAAGATCAGAGGAAGGACTCCTCCTAGCTCCAAGGCAAGGTCTTTATCCACAGTAGTATTTAGAGCTAGGAGGGACCAATGAGGTCTACCACAAAAAGCAATGGCAGACTTTTCACAGGAGAACAGATTTAGGTCTGGAAGGACTCTCAGAGCTCATTCCTTCATTTTACAGATGAGGAAGGTGAGGCCTGGACTGGCTAAGTGACTAAGTTGTGCCCAAGGTCACACAATGTTACCAGTGGGATTTGAACCCAGGTCCTCTCACTCCAGGATTCTTTCCATTGAGCCATACTGGCTATAGTTTAGTCTAGCCTAGACTACTCTAATCTAGTCAAGCATTAGTATCTTCAATTATGTAAATAATGACAAACTATATAGCATTTAAACTTAAGTGACTTGTCCAGGGTCACACAGCTAGTGTCAAGTGTCTGAAGCTGGATTTGAACTCAGGTCCTCCTGACTCCAAGGCTGGAGTTCTATCTACTGTGCCACCTAGCTGCCACAGGTATTAATATTTTTCAAACCAGTTTCACATGCTTTGCCTCACTTGAGTTCCATAATATCCCTGTGAATTCAAAATAGGATATTAGCATTTCTAGCATCCAGATGGAAAAATCAGGACCCAATTCAGCTTAATGATTTGTCCAAGGTCCTGCAATGATTTAGCAGCAGAGACTAACAGCCCAGGTGTGTGCCTGTGTGTGTGTGTGTGTGTGTGTGTGTGTGTGTGTTTTATCATACTATGCAAGGAAGGGGGTCCCTATGACAATAGGTGACACCCCACCTTCTCGGCCCCATTGGCTAACACTTGTTGACTTCAACACTCTGCTTGGTCAGGTCAGTACCTGAGGAGAGAATAAGCATTATAAATAACTACTGTGTGCCAGGCACTGTGCTCAGTACTTTAAAATATTATTTTATTTAATCCTCACACCAACCCTGTGAGGTGGATATTATTATTGTCCCCATTTTTGCAACTGAAGAAATTAAGGCAGACA